GGATACCACATAATAATTTACAAAATATTATGTATTTAACTAAAGGTGGATGCTCCGAAATTTATACAGCAGTTTGGGTTAATGGAAGTTATAACAAATGGGATTCTATTAATAAACAATTAATAAGACTTGGAAATCAAGATGTAAGAAATAAATAATGAAATTTTTTTTATAAATAAAAAAATGAAAAAAAGAAACTAATTAATCAAATTCTCACTTATAGGCTGAATCTCAATTATTATTAAACAGCAAATTGGGATTGATCATTAAATTTTGTGGTCTTACTCAAGATCCACAAAATAAAGATTATTTTCTAGTAATAAATTTAATAGATATAGATTTAAGAAAATATTTATCACAATATCATAATCTGCTTATATAGTAATAAAGAAGTAACATACTTTTTGATATAATCTATATAATTTATAATCTTTAACAAGAAAATTTTATTCATAGAGATTTGTATTCAGGAAATATACTATATTCTAAAAATAATGGTGGTTGGTATATTAATAATTTGGATTTTGTGATCTTGCTGATAAACTTTAGAAAGTATATATGAAAATCTTCCTTATATAACACCTGAAGTTATTTTTGAAAAAAGATATACTTTTATGAATTAATAGAGTTAGAGCTTATATTAGGTTTATATATTTGATTGTAACTATTTAAATTAATACTGCATTTTTTATTTTCATATTGATAATATGATCAAAAATTTTGTTATAAAGAATATGAATGTTAGGTCTTTTTAATGGATTTGCTTACCAACATTGTGTCATTAAATTTTTTATTAACTGATAGAGTTTCTGATATAAATACTGGTCTCATACTATTTACAATATTCATTGCAAGATCATAATCATGGTCAAAGTTAGCAAAGAGCGATCGTCTGAATGAAATTTTTTACATAAGTATATCAAGTCTGATGTTAGTTAGAAAATTTAGTAAAATTTATAATTTTAAAGATTTACCTGAACTAAGAAATGCTACTGAAGGTAAACTATTATTAAATTTATTACATTCATAATTAATAAAATTTAATTAATTATATTTAATTTATAGAAATATAAGAAGGTTATTATTTAAAAATTTAAAAATATTAAAAGTTTAATTAATATTAATTAGATATTATAAAAAAAATTAACTTATGATAGCAAGCAAAATAGACTTTATATTCAGATAGTAAGTAATTCTAGTTTATATGTAATAAATAAGAAATTTATTAATTAATTTGATTATCTTAAGAAATAACCAAAGATTATATCATACAGAATATTTCTACAACAATTATTGGTAAGAATATTTTATTTTGGAATTCATCCTACATGATTTAATAATTTAAAACTCTTATATAACTAATATTATATTAACAGATATAAATATTGACAATCTAAGAGGAACTTTTTATATCATGTTGATGGTAATGAGCATCTCGTTATTATTAAACTTTTTAATAATTACTATAATTAGAAAATTAAGAAATTTAAATAATAAAGGTAATTAAATTTGTAAATTTGGATAATTCTTAATTTTTTACAACTATAAATATATTATTGCGAAATTAAGACGTATTATATGCAAAGAGTTAATATGGCGAGTGATGGTAAGAAATTGATAAATATAAAATTACTTTATTACCAAACTTAAAATTTAATCCTTTTAATCTCCATTAGATGATGATGAAATATATAATAATTCGAATCTTCATTCAGAAGATCAAGATGATTTAGAAATTCTGAAGGTAAATTTAAATAATAATTGAAAACATTATTACCTAGAATTCTTAAAGACTAGAAGTTTTAATTCAATAATTAAAATAGTTCATATTATTTTTATTATGTATTTATTTTTGTATTTATTATATATGAGATTATAGAGTATAGAGTAGGGTTTTATATTTGAACTAGATCAGGTTGAGGTGCGGTGACTCTGCCGTCGCTAAATGAATTTTTTGCTAGGTATTATCTAATTGCAACATTTGATTTTTATATTTTAGAATGAAAATGAAAAAAAGAACAAATGAAGAGTCAAAAGGTCTACCGCAGCAGATCGAACCCCCTTAAAAATTAGAAAATTTAATAAAAAAAAAAACAAAATTAAAATTACAAAAAAAAAATAAATTAAATAAAACAACTTATCCACACTAACGATCTATTCCATTCCGAACTAATGATAAAATATGTAAATAAAAAAATATATAATATTTTTGTTAGTCATTTTTGGAATCACATGTTGATCACGATATTTTTAATTTTTTTTTATTTTATGATATATCGAGAGATTTTTTTTTATTAGAAATCATTTTAATATAATTTATTATACATTATACAATTTTCATATACTACTAAGAGACAAGCCATATTATACTATTGTTTTGAAAAAATTTGTCAATAACTTCAAAATTATTTTGTAAAATATTCAGAATTTCAAATACAGCTTTATAGCAATATTTTATACATAAATATCTGTCAAAAAGCGTTTAACTGTTATTTAGTAATTACTACTATATTTGCGAAATTGTCATGTTACTTTAACTTCCAAGTTTGATGGGTTTTAAAATAGTTGATGGGTGGGTTTGAAGTGGTATTTACTAATATTTTTTTTCGAATTTGAGTTGAAAATTTTTTTGATCTTCTGAATGGTATTACATTGGATGATCATGTAATACAGTTTTAATTTGGACTGTGAAACTTAATTACTGTTATTTTTTAAAAAAAATAGTGATCATGTGATTCCAAAAATGCGCGCATATGAATAACAACAAAAATAATATATATTTATTTATTTACATATTTTATACAAATAAAAACTAAAAAAAAAATATTGAAGTGCAACTGTAAAATCTTGCGCATGAATAATATCATTAAAATTCATTAAAACTTGGCTTGTTCTGTTTTTTTTCCTTGGTATTTAATTCTTCTTTTTTAAAATAACCTCAATTATTTAAATTTGACATTTTATTTTAAAAAAAAAAATAACGCAACAAAATAAAAAATGAATTAGAAATAGACTGTAAAGGTTAGGTTATAGTTCTTTATTATCGTCCTTGGTATATGTGGGATGGAATTAACCGGAGATTTCGAAATCTAATAGAAACGGACTTTGTAGGTAGGAAATTAGTATTAGCATTATTCATAGAAGAATCAGCAGTAGCGTGCAATTTAAAAGAGCCAAAGGATAGGACATTCAACGTCTTACTAGGCCTTTGGGTCAGATTGCTAGTATTCTATATTTAGAGCATGTCCATACAACTTCGTGAAATATTATTTTTGTATCACTATGTACGAAAACCTAATTAAATATAATAAAGTATTACCCCACACTAAGCTCTTATTTTTAGGGAGTTATATCGCAAAATAATAAATATTTTGTTAAAATGGTTAGATTATTTCTGATCATCAATGCTAATATTTATGACTTAAATGGTCGTTTAAAGGCCTACATTCTAATACATGGAATTTCGAAACTCATGATCGGCTAATTATTGTACAAAAGAATTACCGTGAGCTTCGTAATGCAATCATATCTTTTGCAAGTAATTAGATTGATTCTGTTTCACCCAGCAGATTGGCGATGTTGCAGCAACAAAATCAATATTTTCCGCGTGGGATTTGGAAAAATACAAAATCTTCATTTTAGAATGCATTTTGTCATGTTGTGATTTAGTATGATAACATATCGACCAATTAATGTGAAATGAAACGAGCACCTTATGTGTTTTCGCTCGGAACTTCTAGCATATACTTTCGTCATTGATTTGCATGGAAAAACTGATGTTCCATAATTGAAATTACATACGGGATAGCGTTAAATTTTTCTATTGGAGCGTCTGATGATCAGATCTTCATGATGCGGTTATAATAACGTATTTTTCCCAAAGCATAATCCAAAATCGATCCTGTAAAATATATTTATTAAAAGGTGATGTCCCACTTAGTGAACCCTTTATCTGCCTTGTACAAGTAAATTCAAACTTACCACTATTAACATCAATAATATCAACAATCAATCAAACGAGTTTAATTTCTCGGCATGATTCCAGATTCACATCATTTCGGTGCTAATTAAAGTTTTCGGATTTATATATAGATGTTCAAAGCCCAAATCGAAAATATTATCTGCAGATTTGATATTCGCCAGGAAAATCGTGATCGTGATCGCCATCACGTGCCTCATAAAAACAGTAGACTTTTCTGTCACCTGATTATCAGAATCACGCGTCTCGGCGCAGTTAATCAAATATCATAAGCATATTATGGCGTGGTATCGAACCCTTCAAAAATGTCACGAAATGGCCGGCATTAAGGCATTGAGAAATTAACTGAGTGGCAAATAAGGGTGTGACAAATGGTAATTGTCCCGTAAAAATGAAATGCGTTGGGACGTGACACCGGTGACAAAAAATATATCACGTGAAATTTGTGACATATTTGGAGGGTACGCGGGGAATCCGAACTGATCATAAAATAATTGAAATCGAAACACCATTATTATAAAGCAATAAGCAACAAATTTCTTAAATATGAGGCGGAGTAGAATGTTGCAAAAAATAAGTCTGTATGTGTGATGCAATTATTGGTCGTTCTGACTGATTTGTGCGACAATAGATTTCTACATACCCTTATTTTGTGCAAATTTTTCTTTTTTTTCTGAACTGCACAATTCGACCGCACATTTGTCATACTATAGTTGTTTTACCTGAATTGAAATCAAACATGTCAACTTCATCTGCTATCTCTCGCGAACCTAACGTCGAAGATGTGGAAAAATATAACACGGAAAAACTTATCGATTATTTACAATCAATGAACTTCCTTGATGAGAGTGAATTACAAAATGTTCGTACTCAGAAACTTGATGGATTTGCTTTTGTTAATATGACCAAAGATGAGTTTTGTGCTTCTCCCTTTAACGTTCCTTATGGACCAGCTAAAAGACTTGGCTTGTTGATCGATAAGTTAAATAATCAAAGTAAGTTCTATCATAAAATAGTTTATATGTCAACAGACGCTTTTAAAGGCAGTAGTATTTATTATTCATTTCTCTGATTTGCCTGTCTGTTATAAAATACCGAATAATTACTTATCCTTGTGCTTTTCTCTATTTCTTCTTATCGTCAAACCCGCCTAAAAAAACACATTATTTCTTTACTCAACCCGTTTGTCATTTCAATAGGGCTCCTTACTATTAATGAAGTTTTATCATGTATTCCTCCATCTGCAAATTATCCTCTTGATACCAGTACTTCGATTAACTCAACAAAAGTATATGGCGCTTGGCCTACAAAAATAGCGCGTTGGAATGAATTTTTAACAGAAGTGAAGCGGTACAACTTTTTTGAACAGGAGATATTCAAGAGACCACAATTTTTTCATGGTGTACAAAGAGTCGTTGAGACAAATGTCTACACAGCTATGGAAGTCAATATATTTGGTGTATTGAACGAGGTTATGAAAAAATATATGTTTGCAAAGCAGAAGGATTCCGACTTCTCTAGAAATGACCCTAATATTGGTCCTTTCGTACCTGATTATACTTGCCGTCTTAAAATTAACGATACTTTCACGAAGAAAATCTTGGCATTAGAAATCAAGAGAGACATCCTTTTAAGGGATTTGGTAGGATTGACTGATGAAAAGCTGGAAAGGCAAGATTTTAGTTCCCATTCACATGATATAATTAGGCAAATTTACAATTATATGTCATCATTACAACTTCAATATGGAATTCTTTCAAGTTATGATATTCACTTTTTCCTGTATCGACCAAAACATACTCATACGGAGCTTCACATTTCACACCCTCTTCAACGTGTTTCAATCAATCCACCAGTGCTTAAATCATACGCATATTTGGCTCAGTTAGCAGAGGAAGATTCCACATCTCCCCATCATAACATAATGAATAGTAGTAGACAAAATTTAGCTTTACAGCAAAGTCAACAAAATTTTGGAGGTGGCCAGATTCCCAGAAGTTTGAATAATTCTCGTTATAACTTGAGAAGTTTGTCGAGAACGTCTGATAACCGAGGATCACGGGAAAATCAGGATCCAATGGAACATGTTTTTGATTGTTCTGAATTTAAGTTTGAACGTTCATTAGGCTATGGACAAACCGGAGGGACTTACCGATGCGAATTCCATGGGCAAATAATAGCTCTGAAGGCCTTAGATCTATATAAGAATAGAAAATTTTTTTATAAAATGCAAAATGAAATCGAAATATACAATCTTCTTTCTAAAGTTCAAGGATTATATATTCCAAAATTGGTATGTTATGGTTATTATGGGGGTGGAATGGGCTATGTTATGGGTATGACAATTGTTGGTACTATTTTGAACTTACATAAAATAGAGGAATGGCAAAAGGATATGGCTCTCAAGGCATTAAAGATAATTCATAGTCATAACGTTCTTCACAACGATATTCGAAAAGAAAATATCTTAGTTAATGAAAAAGGTAATGTATATTTTATTGACTTTGGGAAGTCAATTGTTACTGATAAAAAGGAGCTGTTTCTACAAGAGGAATCTGAATTATCCCGTTTATTCGATTGCTATATGTAATTAATATTTCTTATTGCAACTTTATAAATAAATTCAAAGAAAATCTGGTTATATAAATAGAATCGTTAACACGGTAACTAATTATATAAATATTTTTTTTTCTGGCAAAAGTGATCGACATTCCGAAACGGAACGCACAAACGATGATGTTTTTGCATCAGACTATTTATGCGCATCAAAATGTATGATATTACAATTGTATTGCGAAGTAATGAGTGCCAGGTAAAATCATATGATTGATCGTTCCCTAATAGATTTTCCATAACCTAAATTTATCTTGAAATAAATGAGTTAGGGACTATGGATCATAAAAAGTATTACGATCTCGAAGTTGACCGGAAATAACATATTCCTAGCATTACTAGCTTCATACGTAAAAAGATGGTCACTACAAAGAACTCAGGCTAATTTTATTTAGGGAAGTTAATTATTATCGTCTTATCGATCGGTTGACCAATAAATATTAAGTACTTTTAGTATCAATGCTAGTAATTCTAGGAATTATTATGTCAATTTTTTGGTCATTAATTAGAGGATTAATATTTAATAAGGAAAATTATTAATGTGTTGTATTTTTCTATGTCAATCGGCATAATGACATACTTGATGATTAGATATTATATACTTTGACTTGTCTGATTTATATATCTAATAAATAATATCACAAAATTTTGTCAACCTTACTAATTTTAAATTCAGTAGAATAGTTTATTACGAAAGTTTTAACATAATAACAGACTAAATAATAAGGTGTAGTGATCTTCTTATCATAACATGATCATAATCATCTATGTGAAAAATATTTTTTTCAAAAATAAAAAACTAGAACCACCAAAACGAATATTCGAAAATGATCACGTTCGCTTTTCATCTATTTTTTTGGACTCTTAATTTTTCTTATCTCTGGTGCTTCTGCCGATTGCACTCCTGATTGCTAGCGTCTGCAATGTTCCAAACTCAGGCCAACCTTAAGGTCGCTTCTGTGGTTTCGAAAGCGAAGAATGATATCTACCAATGCTCTGTTATAGAAGACATTTGTCGTTTTGGCGTTTGCAAGGAAGGCTATGAATCCGGAGGGTACTTGCAGAATATAAGTATTGACAATTTCTTTAGAAAGGTAATTTATTCGTATAAAGTAAAATATTTTACTGCTCTTATATTACAATGTTGTATTATTATTTTAAATAACTATTTGTATTACTTTATGCACTTTGATGTTGTCCAAAACCAGAATCTGAAATATTAATAATACTTTTTACATTAAATTTTTTTTAAGATAAAGATTTCTTTTTGTACGCTTATCAATTTGCAAAATAAAATTTAAAGAATTTATCATTTCTAGATGCGTGTAAAATCAAAAATTTTCATGTTTACAAAAAATTATTAAATTATAAAATTCAAATTACATTGAGGGATGTGCTAAATAATGTCATCTTTGGGTTATGCAACGTATCAAATTATCCTAGACATCAAAACTTCTGAGATGTAACATTTTTTATTAGATATCTTTATTACTACTATTCTTTTCAATTCGTTGTAGATATCAATAATATACTCTGTTAATAAATTTTTAAAGATTTTAATAATTTTATCATCTCCCCTATGATAAATTCTTTTGCCATTTGTTTGCGATCAGATAAAGATGAATTGATTAATGGTAAAATCGATAATGAATTTCTTAATTGGCTTTGCATTTTTCATTTGATTCCACAAGTTTTCGACGGGTGACAAAACCCATCGAACCTTCTGAATTTAAATATTTATTATTTTGTGAGCAAATCGTATTTATCAAAGGTCATTTTCTTTTATAATTTTTAATATTTTCAAATCCAATTACATCATTTATCACCTAATTATATTTTCTTCATTTATCTTCTTCCTTATTCATTAAATTTTTATTTGAAAATCATCATATAGAGGTTGGAATCGAATTTGATAAATTCAGATTTATTCAGTTCGAATTAAATCCAGATTTATTTAAAACTCCAGTAATTTTTGAAAGCAAAAAAAAATTTTATAATATATAAATAGTAGATTTAAAAAATTTATAACATTAATGTATGATTCTTGTAAATTGTAATAGTTAGATAAGGCAGTGTAACAATTTTTTAATTTAAATAATAACACAATCACAATCATAAATTGCTTTATTTATTAATTATAAATAAAAATAATTTACAAAGGCTATTGAAATAAAAAAAAAAAACTAAAGTCTAATGATGTAAGTAATTGTATGTTTTATTAAAAGTTTATTATTATTAAAACTAAAAGAAAATTATAGAAAACTTTATATTTAACTAATTTATAAATTTGTATTTGTATAAATTGTTTACATAAATGATATAAGAAATTTATTTTATATATTTAATATAACTAATTTATTTAATAATCGAATATATTGTATTTGTCTATTTTATTAATTATGTTAATTATATCAGAAATGTTAGATTTTCAAATACAGTTTTATACTATATTATTAGTGATTCTACAAACAGGTAATACTTCAGGATCATTATCATAATGGAAAAAATGTAAAGGTTTAATAAATTTAAAAAAATAATAATAACATTTTTATAAATAATTAATAATATTGCTAATTTATAATTAATTTTATTAATAAATCATCTAATCATAACTCTAATCCTAAACTTAACTCTAATTCAAACTTAATTTGTAAAATAATCTAATTCTAATGCTAATTCTAACTCTAATTTTAACCTTAATCTTCATGATTTGTAATATCAAATTTTTTTAATTTATTTTTAAAATTATAATTTTTATTTTTAAATACTTTTTTTAATAATTGATTTTAATTAAATAATTGAATTTTAATTGAAATTTTTTTTAAATAATGCTAAATAAAATAAAATAAAAAATAGATACATAAGATCAAGCTATGCTATATATGTAATCTTGAATCTCATAATCTGAAATTTAATTAATCAAAGATTAATTAATTTTTGAATAAATTTTCAGAAATTTTTATATTCTCTGATATAAATTTTCTCAATTTAATTTCCAATATCTAATCTAAAAAATCTAATTAGTAGAACATAATATTTTTTATAATGAAATACATTAGTATAATATATATATATATAGACTAGTAACCCTATTTAAGTAATATTCTAGGATTACTATTGTAACAAAAAAAGGTAAGATTTTTATAATTAATAATTAATGTAATTATTAAATAAGAATTTTTCATTTTGTAAAAAAATCTTAATTAAATGTTAAATGTATTAATTAATAATAATTTTTCACTTTATGAAAATCCTATTTAAATACTAAATTTTAATTAATTAAGATTTTTCACTTTATGGAAAGTCTTATATAAATGTTAAATGTAATAATTAATAAGAATTTTTTTACTTCATGAAAATATTTTATCTAAATATTAAAATAAAAATAAATCCTATAGAATTAGGTTTTGCTATACATATAATTTTTAATTTTGTAACCTAAACTTAAATTGATTGGAGATTTTATTTAATTTTAGGATAAATTTCAGAAATTTTTATATTAACTAATATGAATTTTTCCAATCTGATTTTCTTATATCTAATTTAAAAAATTTGATTGATAAAGTATAACAATTTTTTATAATAAAGTATATTAGCATAATATATATATAAATTAGCAATTCTATTTAGAAGATACACTAGAATTACTTTACAATAAAAAGAGGTAAAATTTTAATAAATTTAAAATAATGTAATAATCAGTTAGTATTTTTTCACTTTATAGAAAATCCTATTTAATCATTACATTATTTATTGTAAACTATAAAATAATCTATAAGTTAATTTAAACTTTTATTTATAATTTATTATTATATGCAATTATATACTTTTATAATAATAAAGTAAATAATGAAATTAAATTAAGGTATATAAAAACTTTTAAAATTATATATAAATTAAAATAAATTAAAAATATAAAGTTAATTAGAATTCTAATCCATAATATAATACAAATATTAATCTGAATTCTAACTTTTAATCTGAATTCTAATCTTTAATCTAAGCCCTAACTCTGTTTATATTTTTATTTTTTCTTTTTTTCTGTATTTTTTAAATTTATATTTTCTTAAATTATACAATTATTTAATAAAATCTTCCTATTATTATTATAGAATTAAAATTATCTAATAATAAATATAATTTGTTATAATGGTATATCATATATTATAAATAATTAATAAAATTCATAATATAACATAATAAAATTTTCAAGTAATAATATTAAATCCATTTCTAATGATCCAAATTTTACAAAATTTAACTCATTTAAATATCTTATTATCCTAAATCTAAAGGTTTTCATTTAGCAATTTTTTAATTGATAATTCATATTATATAAATAATTAACAATCTTTTTTACTAAATTTTACATTTTAAGACTTCATAAGTAGCTTAATATTTTTACATAATAATAATCAATTTTTTCATCTTTTTTAAGTAATTAAATCTTAGTATTATTAAAAAATTAATATAAAATTCACTTATAAATACTTTTTTCAAAATTAACTTTAATTCTGCTCAAGATCTTACTAATTCTTAAAGCTATTTCAGCTTTCTGTAATTCAATCTTAATGAATTTTAATTTATTTTAAAGGACTTTTCATGCTAAATCTTATTATTATTAAATTAATATTTTTATAATTCTTATTATATAATTATTTTATTTACAAGTATTTAAGAATTTGTAGATTAAATAATTAATTTTAAACATTTATGAATAACCTTATTTTCTTACATATTGATACATAATTTTCTCACATTTATTAGATTTCAGAGACTAAAATTAGTATTTAGTATTATTACTTTTTAAATAGTTCTTTTTACTTCAGTTGTAATATTCATTCCTACTTAAAATTCTTTAATGGTGAGTCTTAAAATAATTTCTTTCAGTTTTTCTCAAATATTTCTAAATCAGATAATTAGATTTTGATAAATTTGAATTTATTTGAAAGATCAGAATCTATTAAATTTGTATAT